GTCGGGGACAGGAGTGAAAAATAGTCCGGGTGGCAGGAATAACTGACAGGGAATACTGTATTTCTTTCACGGAGCGTACAGATCATTCTGGCTCCGAGGGTGGATTATACCGGTGGTCGAGAACCTACGAGCCCGCAGATCATTGTTATCGTAACAGTATCAAACAAATGTAATATCGTAAAAGTAAAATTGAAAATTTTAACTGAGAAATTATCGTCTCGAGAGACGTCTCGTTCATCAATAACTTCACCATTACAATTATGTTAACAAACACCAGCGGTCCATCGATGAGGAGTTTCGCTTCCACTGAACAGCCCCAAAATTCAGTTTGCAATCCACCGGTGGTTAATATTTGATTGAAATTCGAGCTGTAAACAAACTACTCTACAAGTATACAGTTTACGAGGGTTAGTGTTTCGAGGGACGTTACATGAAATGTTCTACCCTTCGTCCACCTTTTGTTATGATATTTGTTTGGCCGTTTCGAGGTAGTTGTGCTTAGTCTCGTGATTGAAATCACACGTCGCGGCAAGGATTCGTTCAACGCGATAAGCAATTATACAAGGTGTCCCGTAACTAGTGTAAGAACTGGAAATGTAGCTGAGACGATTCTGAACAACAATTTCCTTTGCAAAAATGTCGGATGGGGCTTCGTTTTTGAATTATTAACGAAAAACAGAATCACGGCGCGCGCTCAGTGATCGATAGCGGTGCATTGGCCGGGCCCTATTGTCAGCGCAGCAGATAAGTCGAATTTGAATTATTTCTCTATTAACCGTTTGCATTCGAGGAATGTTTTGGTGCACATAGATCCAGTCTGTTTTTCCAGTACAGTTTTTGATAGCAAAGGGTTCCAATGGTTTTTACCGTATTTATTTTAATTTTCTGAAAACAATTCGTATTTTAATTTTAAAACACTCTGACGGGAAGCGCCACTCGGGTGTGCGCAGGATTAATTTTCTAAAAATTCCGCGAGCATCCACCGACATTTTATTCCTTCTGCCTTGGAAACAGCGAATACAAATAATTAATAAAATCGATTTAATAATTTACGTACTAATTACGTAGTAATTAACGAATTAGGTAACAGTGGCAGTGGTAGTATTTTTAATTATTTGAATTCGTTTCTCGACGTATCATCAATGCACAACTTGCTACCTACACGACGCGTGGGCCCTACGAGTTCGGACGGCCCTGAGCGCGCGGTAGGCGCGCGCCGTGATTGTGTTTTTCGTTAATAATTCAAAAACGAAGCCCCATCCGACATTTTTGCAAAAGGAAATTGTTATTCAGAATCGTCTCAGCTACCCCCCATTTCCGGTTCTTACACTAGTTACGGGGCACCCTGTATTTGAGGGTAGCCGTCAAGTAAGCAGGAATCACCGATCTCTGATTTCCCCTCGAAAACGAAAGATCGCCCGTTCGACAAGAATATTCCTATCGCCATCGGCGTTCGTCGATACAAGAGTAACTACCATTTCCCATCGCGGGTGCGCCCGGCGCCCGATAAAAAATGTGCAGGCTGACCAATTGCATATAACTCACCCAGCCTTTCCACTTCTTCCTGCCTCCCATGTATATATACGTCTATCTATCCGCGCGCGTTCTCTTTCTCTGTCCCACCCCCACTCGGCTTTTCTCATACTTTCCTTCTCCCGCCCTTCTCCCTCTCTCACTCTCTCTGTCCCTCTCTCTCTCTCTCTCTCTCTCTCTCTCTCTCTCTCTCGTTCCCGTTCTCACGTTCTCTCTCCCTTTCGGTAGTTGGGGGTCGCTTTTCCAGCACTCTTCCGTCCATACACACATATTCTCCAATGCGCGCGCGTACACAGATTCTCCGCGTGCACGCACGCATACACACGCTCGCGCACAGAGAAACGCAGACACACGTGTCAGCGTATGCATGCTTACACGTACGCGCGGCCGCGCACACGGACACGGTTCCAGGGGTCGTGTATTCGAGTTCTTTTATTTGGCCCTGTGGGGGTAGTAGAGGGTTGAGTTGAGCGAGCGAAACGAGGGTGCGGTGGGCTGGGGGTGATGACATCGATTTTTTACCCGTTGCTAATCTCAATGTTACCTCCTCCTACTCTGCCTCCTCTTCCTCTTCCTCCTGCCGTTCGGCCACCTCCATCTACCCTTTTTCACTCCTCCTCTTCCCAACCCCTCCTCGGTCGACCCTCTTCGTTCTTCCCCTTCCTCTTCCTCTATCTCCACCTCCGCCCTCGGACCATCCGTTCTGCGGGAAAATGTGCATGTGCATCGGGCACATTCGAGAAGGAATAACCATTTTTTCGTACCGGACAACACTTGCGCCGCGTCGCCCTGCCGCGCAAATTCTCCTCGTCTCCCCTTCGTCGTCGTTCTTCCCCCTTTCCCATTCGCGTCGGCTTTCGTTCCCGCTGTTCCTTCTATCCGTCTCCCTCTCGCCTTCGACGTTTCCCACTGTTGCGTGTTCTCTTTGTCGCGTTTTTCGTCGAAGCTTTTTTTTCTTCCGCCGCGCACCCTTCTTCTCCGCCGTCTCCTCTCCCCCGGTTCGGACCGGGCGAAATCGAACTGACGTGGACGCGGCAGTTTTCCATCTTTCTGTCCCTTCACCCCCGCCCCCCCACCCCCCAACCACTCCCACCTCCCGTGGGAATAATGACATTTTTTTCGGTTTGAAGCCTCCAACGCGCGCCGCCCGGGAAAAACCATGCTCGGATGCTCGCGACGCGTGAACCAGAAATTGCTGGAATCAAGGTGATCGTCTCGGGAATCGAGCTTCCTGTTAACCCTTCTTGGCCGACCGTCCATCCTTTCCCATGCAATTTTAGACGATTTGTACGAGTTCGCCACTCGCAGACTTGAAAACCAAAACTACCATTCCGACTTAACGTCAGCAAAAACAAAATGCAAATGGCTATTATTTACAGTTGCATCTTAAGACATGTCTTCGTGATATTACAAGTATCATTAAAAACGTGTATAATTTTCCAAATCGTATCCCTATAAACGAACGAACCAATCGTCCCTGACGTTGAAGAATTAGAACCTTAAGGGTCCACCATTATTGACGTTGCAGATTTAAAATTATTTATTTCCCGCTAGATTCGATCAAACCATTTTTATTATTCGCATCGATAAAAGTGACTACAATACAAAAATCGGATCTGAAACTCGATTTCGAAACACGTAACGAAATAATTTTGTTATGGGTGAAAATCGACTGCGCTGCAATTAGGCGACGGGCCAGAACACGTCGGTGCCAAAAATGATTATCCGATTTCGCCCCGCTAGCTACGTCTTGGGGAATGCTCGATAAATAATTTGCGTAAGTAAGCTTCGGTGCAATTTGGCCGTGGTATCGGTGTTAGGCGACGCGTGCACCGATCGCGTCGATTCCGGGCGACATTCGTCGTCGTACCATATTTGCTCGCACTCGTTGCAGGTAATTGTTGAAACTAATCTGTCGCGATCGCGTAATACACGAACGTGTTTATTGTTTGTTGGCCGTGACTCGGTGCATGGGTGCATCAGCTGTTTGCGGTTCGATGCGCTTTTTTATTCAACGTCGAACTATTCGAATCGATAACGGAAAAAACACTGTAATTGTTCCGTAAACGGCCATCGACGAATGTTCCTGAAACTTGTAAAAATTCTCGGTCGAAAATGTCGTCGAACAAAATTTCGGACCTCAAAAAAAAACACCGTATTAAATTAAAGATTTTTGAATCACATCGTACGGTTTTCACTCATATCGTACGACTATTTTTTATCGCAACTATCAAGTCACTTGTCTGCGCGTTCTGTTTTCTTCTTTCATGAGATCGCTATTGTGAGCAAGTCACGTGGCCATCGGTAGAATCGATTCGATCGACACGCATTAATGAGCAACTGCTCTCTTTCCGTAGCATGGGTGAACTCACGTGTCATCGAACGGTCGTTACGCGCAGTACAATCACCGTAACGTAATCCAGAATTTCATGACGTTTTTACGGTGTTTTCGCGATTTGTCCGCGCTCGGTTTACAGTCGCGGCCCGTTCTCTGATTTTTCAATTAATTCGTCGAGTTGTCGGTGCACGCATCGAAACGAGGTATCAAAATTTGTGTCGCCCCTCGTTCCTGCGCCCCCCCCCCTCCCCCCCGCTAATAAACTGCCGTGTATTTTAGTATTGTCGTTTTTGGTGACACCGGGCCAATACGCGCGACGCGATTTAAACAATTTATTAAGATCGATGCCCTTCGAACGTTTCGATAACTTCTGTGTCACTCTTATTGTTCGAATTACAAGAAAAGTTTTAACTCGAATAAATTCAGGGTTGATTGAAATTACGATTGCCTGTGACAAAATTGTGTATTGTTCCCAGTGACGTGGGACATTCTGTGTGCTATTAAACTGTATAGAATGACCTGTAATCGATAGACCTTAACCCTCGAACGGTGGATCGTCTGACAGTCGACCGCATGGAGGATATATCCTGTCAGACCCATAATGGAATTGCGTTGCTATGTAATTCCAAATAAATCAAAAATGAAAAACTGTTACATTAATTAAGAATCTTATTCGTTCCTGTCTTAAAATGTTTCGCTGAACCACAAATACAGGAATAAAGATGGCCTGCAACTGACCCAGTTTCCCCTATAAAATATACAAGTTTCTAATAGCGTTTCGTTCAGATATTCCCACTGAACTAGTCGGTAAATCTCAACGAACTACGATCGAACGATGTTAGACCTTCTTTCGTGTCACTCGTAATTTCGACGATACGTCGCGTGGGTCGAGTAATACGAGGCATCCCACACACCATACCCTACAGTCGCACTGATTAACCTGCGCGAATATTCGTGACTAACAGCATCGACGTACAGAACCTGGACTTCTGAATTCCAGAACGATCGATTGTCTATAATCTTTGATCGTTAACGGCCTTGGGAAATTCCAGAGACTTCTTTTGATCCGTCGCATCCCCTATTCTTGGTTTTATTCGCCCGCTAATCGCGTAATTCATCGTGCTTGCAGACAGAGATCGCTAAGAGGTTGAACGCAATAATCGTCCAGCTACTACCGTTCCTGGCACAAGAGGTGAGTCTTTGACTTTCTGTTTGGCACGCGTGCCGTACAATCTCGCGATCGAAAGTGACAACGACGCGATAATGATAGCATGGCTTGCAGCATCAGCAGCAGGTGGCCAATGCCGTAGAGAGAGCGAAGCAAGTCACGACGTCCGAGCTAAACGCTATTATTGGGGTGAGCTTCTCTACAATTGATTCTATTAACTTCATAGTTTTGGCAAGCAGTCGGACATTGATCTTGGCACAGTATGTTACAAATTCGCGCTGCTTGCGTTCCAATTTCATTCTTGAACATAACTCGCAAATAAATGGTGGCCGACTAACTCTTACGAAACTCTTTTGCAGCAACAACAGGGTCTACAGCAGCTACTGGTGAGTCTTTCAGTCTTTCAAGCTTCTCTGTACTACGAGGGCATGTTTTGAGACATCCTAGCGTTACTCTGTGTCTGAGTTTGGCTCGTGGCCAGCAAGATGTTTAATAGCGAACGTTTCATTTCGAAATTTATTGTCTCCGATACGAACGAAACATTTATTACACGCCGACTCGCGTATTTTAAACGCGCGAGTAGGTGTTTAAAGATATATGAGAATCATTGGCTCGAATTGTATGATATTCTTTCAACTGGTTAGTTACGTTCCATTTCATTTAGACAGAAATGTTGAAAATACTTGAATTTAGGATTTTACATGGCGTATAGCGTCCGTACCAGATACACAGTAGAGCTAGCTGCATCAGAATCAAACGAGATGCCGATGCCTAGATGTCTCCCCTGATGTGTTCCAATTTGTAGCTAGTACCAATATATGTTACAGAGTCTCTTCTAACAGTGACGTAGCTGGGTCCGATGTTCAGATGTTAGTATACAAATACTAGAACCGTCTTGCATCTGGGAGTTTTAGAGCATGCCAAAATTACTCTAAAAAAAAACACTCCAAACTACCAAAAATATATAAGGAGCGTATTAACGATAAATGCAAGTTTCGTTCTAGCTTCTCCAAACGGTAACAATCGTAACAAAGTAGAAAACAGAATTTCCAGATCGGTACTTTATGAATGCATATTTTATTTGTTCTTTTCTTTGGTTTTCACTATACGTTTATGATACACATTCCACGAAGAACGCAAATTCTGTGCTGACAAGATTAGATAGTTCCTATAAACGTATATACTCGACACTGGTCTTCTTTCTCCCACATACGTTCATTGAAGACAGGGGATTAAACTATCATTTCAGTCACCTCGATACACATCCATACACATTAGATTTCTTTATTTTGTAGTAAACTACTCCCCAGATATAATGCAAAACAGAATCTCACACATACACAAGCATTCATATAAAAAAAATTTAAACCAGCTTTTAGCATCTTTGGACTCGGGGTGTACAACTACCATTTTGATGATATCGATACACACCCATACACACCAAATTTATTAATTCCATTGTAGAGATACCAAGAGAAACAGAATCCTACATAAACACAAGTCCATGTACCAAAGCTCGAACCAGTGTTTTTGCATTTTCGGAGTCAGGGCGAAAGCATCGAGAAATGCACCGGAGAAGGTAGAATTTTGACAGCAGGGTTCTTCCCCCCTGTTGCGCGGGATAACAGTCGGGGGAAAGCAATAATTGAGAAAAATCGTGAGCGTGTCTGTTCCCGATGTTGCAGCAACAGATTCACGCGCAGCAGCTGCCCCACGGCGCGGTGGTCGGCGGTCTTCCGCCGGGCGGGTTGTTGGGCTTCGCAGGTGCGGCCGCGGCGGCCGCAGCCGCGGTGGTGCCGTCACATCTCGCGCCGCCCCCGCATCCAGCGGCCGCGGCTGCGGTCCAGGCGCAGGCGCAAGCGCTCCTGAAACCGTCGGACCTGCAACAGCACCGAGCAGCGGCGGAGACGCCCGAGGATCGCAAGCCGATCGCCCTCACCGACGACAGACTACGACGATCCGTTTCGCCGCCCGAGAAATTCCGCAGCCGCACCCCCGACCTCGAGAGCGATCCCAAGAGGCGGAAGGAGGAGAAGCTCGGACACGTGAGTTTAATCCTGTTCCTCGTGCGCGCTTCCTCGCGTATCCACGGCCGCTTTTGTTTTTGCGAGCGCGCGCGGCCTTCGACCCACCTGTTACGCGCTATTTAAGAATCCGCGGCCGAAGTGTCTCTCCCGACGAGCATACCTTGGTCCATGCGAGCCGCACAGTGACGACGCGGACATCGACGAAATTTTATCCAAACAATTGGGACATTACTGCCGGAAGTTAGACTCTTCGAACGGGAACCTACGATATCGCTACTATTTACTTTCGACGAATCGAATTGGAAATTATTTTTTACGAAGACAGTCCATTTATTTGCTTGGAAATTTTGGTTAAATCTTCGAGATCGCAGGAAGATGTACCGCGAGTCTCGTAGAAATTTAACCGGTCGCCTAGTTTGTGGGTATAAGGTTACTGAATTCAGGAGGAAGTGTGCAGAATGGACAAATTTGAATGCGCAGAGAGCGACGAAGGTTAGAGGGGACTCGTTTGAATTTTATGGAGAAAAAATTGTGCACGACGGCGTCGAGAACGTTCGAGATCGCTTATCTTTCTTGCGCTCGGACGCGTCCATTGTGTATGCGTTGTAGAAAAAGAATTCCATCTCGAAACGTTCTCGACGTTTCCGCTTATCAATGTTTCTTTACGAAATTCGACCTTCGTCGATATCCTTCGGGCATTCGCGAATTTGAAAAAAACTTGGACACGAAGCGACCAGAAAGCGAATAATTCATAAAAAGCGAAACCGTTTCCCAGTAGACTCGCAGATATTTTTTCGAGAAGAACCGTGGATAATAAAAGCGGCGGTCGTCAGAGGAGATGGCAAGATATCCTCGTATAGTTCTTAGCCATTTCAAAAGAAAAGTCCAGTTTCGTTCGAACGCATCAAACCCGTCGATGCATTTCGTAGCATACGGCTCAAAGTTGAAGGAAATAAAACCGGAGTCGTCGTATTACGCGACCGGTTGCAACGTATCGCTGAAATATCTCGAGCAGGAACGATAAAACTCTGAAAACGCTCGATGACAGGCAGACTGGAGAATGGAACGGACGTTTCGTGTTGCGAGGAAAAGGTAGTTTCTTGGTGCACCTTTTGACTGTACGGAGAACGGAGAAACCCGGTCGAGGTATATTGTAACAATGGAACATGTTTCAACAACAGTTTCTCGGGGGCACGAACTTTAAAGGCGAAATCGACTCGACGAATTTCTTAAGTAAACTAAGCGTTCCTGGCGTTTGTTACCTTCATATTTCTTCGCTGACCACGGTAACTGAAATCCCCCGAAAGTAGATCACATTTACGATATCGAAAAATTTCTCGTTCGAGGTCTCTGCCAAAATTAAACGATTGGACCCTGAGCTCCATAAATTGCATATTTGATCCAACATTTTTTAAACGTCCCTTCCCTTTCGTTTAGCGAAAATCTTTATTCGGAAATTTTCTACAAAACCGTATCGCGTGTTTAACGCGTTCGGAGCAGATGGTCGGGGATCGTAGCGAACCCGTGGGATGAAAAGCGAACGTACCGCGTAACGGATGCATTATTCCCGATGCTTTCGGAACAACAACTTCCAGGGAAATGTTATCGGCGTAGTTTTTACCGTGACTCGTGACTGACGGACGTCTGCTCGGCCAAACAGGACGCGGCCTCGCCGTTCCGTTTCCATAACGATAAAGCTTAGCAACGAACGCAACGCGAAAAGCACTCGCAATACCTAGCTCCGGCGCGTGCTCCCTAAAAATTGGATGACTTTTGTCCAGGGTAAAATGGCAAAGCGGGCAGCAACGCGGCGCAGCGTGTTCCATAGAGCGTGGGTTCGGGGGTCTCGTCGACCCGCAACAAGCCAGAAGTCGCACAGTTTCTCCTTTCGCCGCGGCTCCGTGAAATATCCATGAAAACACGCTCCTTTGTCAGGATCGCGACGACAAAGTGCGCGACCTAGCCCCGCGGAGGGCGGCGACGCGAGGTGGCGTGTAATTATAAAAACCGTGAAAACAGGCGAACTGCGCGCTGTCGCTTCGCTCGCGTTCTCCCACTAAATTGGATTATTTTTCTCAGTCTTGTACCTCGGACTCCGCGCGCCGGTTCCGTCGCTTTTCCCTCGACCCGCCTGCTTCTCGACAATTAAAGTACTCCTTCGCGAGTGTACCGTGTTTTCGCGTAACCATCGTCCCTTCGCCTTCCTATCTGTCTCCCTCTCTACTACCCCGTATAATAATAACAACAACGACACCCTGCAAAAGAGAATACACCCACGGGGTCCTAAAAACTTGGACACGCCGGAGACAAGTCGCTTTTAACCCTTGGACACAATTAAGGGAAAATTATTTTTTATCGTTTAGACATGTACAGTCAATATGCTAGGAAAAATTTTAATGGGAGATTCTAGACAGCAAAATAAGACGAAAATCAAGATTACTAATTTGTTGATTGAGACTTCGTTAAAAAGCTATTAAAGTGTAAAGTTCCGCCTGTAGTGGTGGTTCTCACTCGCAATTTTCTACGGAGATTGTTCTCAGATTTTCGCAGATTGTTGTTCCACAGAACTTTAACGTTAATAACTTCTCAACGAAGCCTCGTTCAAGAAATTGGTGATCTTGATTTTGGCCTCCAGAATCTCACATTAAAATTTCTCCCAGGGCCGGCCGAACACCCTGTATAATCTTAAATCATAGGTGGTCGAATCACCAATTGCAACAAGATGATATTGTTTCGACTCTTGGGTTACAATATCGTGTACTCGGTTCCCACCAGCGTCGTACTTTTCGCCATCGTTTAATGGCGAAGCGTTCAAATTGCTTCCGAGCCGGACGACCGGATACGCGTCCATGTCGTGCTCGATTGTCGCGTCGAATCCCGAAAGTCCTCGGCAGGAATTCCCGAGTCACGGCTCCGTGCGACGTTCCCCGCCCTTCCTGCCCGTACTTCTTCCCGCTGTCCGTCTTTCTTTCTCTCGGACCCTTCGTTCGCCGTCTGCGAGAGAACTAACGACGCGCCGTTTACACGGGCAATCCCTCGAGCCCCAAGGGTGCCTGGAAGTTTGTTCGAAGTTGAGCCACTGACCGGACTCCGTCATCAGCCCCATTTACCGTGGCTGGTGTGGGTGTATCGTTGGCGAACACGCGCGATCGACCCGACGACCTGTTCGTCCTGTCGCACACGTGTACCGAACGTATCGTATTGCCGGCGCGATCGCATCGAGAAAAGTGCCGGGACGTGTGAAAAAGTGGAAATACCCAGCTCGAAACTGGAGCTACGAGCGTGATACGTGTTTTCGTTCTGTGGACGCGAATGCCATCCTCCCCCTCGAACACCCTCTTCGCCTACTGTTTCCTGTATGTCCACGGGAATCATCGCGTCCAACGATCGCGGCCGATTCACCGTCTTTGAAATGAAAGTATCGGTCGATCGCGCGTCGCTTCGGATACGTTGAATTGAATTTCACGATAGGACCAATTTGCAGTTTGCTACCGTCTCCGATAAAACAATGTAATATTAATTGATACTCGTAAGACTTGGAGCTACTTTCTGCCCGAACGATAAGCTTCTGTTCGCGATAGTATTGACCGAGCTGGCAAATAATTCTGGGAATTTGCGTGACGCGGCAAATTTGCCTCGCTACCCTCCCCTCGAAAGCCTTTCTGGGAAGTTTCTTTAACGTTTCCAAGGATACATTTAGTTTTCCAATCGTTTTGGATATCGTTTTATTTTAACGCCTCGGGCGCGATACCGTGTTCGATTGCGAAACCGGCGGTCGAGTTTCGCATAGTCGGCTGTTTCATAGTCCGGTACGAGAGAAGTTTGAACGTTATTTAATTAACCGGTTAGTCGCGTGAAAAATTTGAATCAAAATTCAGTGGAAACCCTTTTCGCTCGAATTCCCGTTCTACCTGAAAACTTTGACCCGCAGCCGAGTGCGAAACATTTTGCTAGCCGCGCGTTTGATAAACCCAGCTATCTGTATTAGTAGGATATTTCTGTTCGCATTCCGGCGTGAAAAGTTTCGAACCGGGTCTGAACTTGGCGTACTTGGTACCCGAGACCTTTGTCCGCGCAACGCTATGATTTGAGCGGCGTCCTCGAGACAATGGAGTGTAATTCACATATCTCATGCATTCATACCGCGTCACATACTGCGAGCTTTAGTGTTCGAAATTAACGTACTTAGTTTCCTGCTCAGAATTCCACTTGTACACCGTATGCCTATACCTTCGCGTCGCGCCAACGATCCCGCGTTCGCATCCGGTCGTGCGACGCAAACTTCATCGCGCGCGAACAATTTTATTAAAATCTTCCTCCGATGGCTCGGCGAAGTCAAGCTGCTTTTTACCTTGTAAATTTTCCAGCGACGCTTTTGTATACCTCGGATACCGTCGATGGAGTTTGTGTATTCCCAGGCGGAAGGAAAGAATTTTAAATTGCCGTTCGAGGGGTGATTTCTCACGCCTGCTTGTACGTTGGACGAGAATAGGAATTCGGTTCGTCTGAATAACCTTGATCGTCGGTGCATTATTCTCGAGGATTTCTACAAGCGTATCGAAGCTGAAATAATCAATATTTTTTTCTCTTTTGTGCATCGTGGGTATCGATTACAATTAGAAAGTTTACTTTTTTAAAACGTGCGAATTTCGAAACACAGCGAGACACGACGATAGGCGTTAGCGATAAACGGTACACGGATCGCGAGCGATACTTCCGTGTACTCGACGGTCGAACCGAGCATATTCCGTGCTCCGTTTTATTCGCGGTCCGCAAACACCGAGCCCGACTTCCTGTTCCCCGATTAACGCCCCATTAATCGAAACGTTTCCCCGAAATTACCGCGCATCGGAGTTCCCCGGCGCAATCGATACAAGGGCCTGGCCTCTGACCGCGCGGCTATGCGTTCCGCAAGATTTGAGAATCGAGCCCCCCCGGGTCCCTGCGCGCGTGCGATCCACTTCGCCAGAGACACCGCGTCACGGATGGTCGCGTGTAATTCACAACAGTCTACGGAG